AAAAAATTTATGATGATAGATGATGATGATAGATGATGATGATAGATGATGGCAATGACACATGATGACAATGATACATGATGATACATGATGATAATACATGATCATACATGATGGTGATACATGATGATAATGATACATGATGATGATGATACATGATCATATTAGCATATTAGCATCAATCCAACTCACTTGGTCAAGATCTTTTTCTGTCATTTTTGCAAAGCTTTCAAAAGTGATTTTATGTTCCTAAAGAATTTCAAAGAAATTTGAAGATTTAAGGTACCATGGTTGAAGAGTCAACTTGATATCATAGTAGACTTCAGTAGAACGGATGGAAGTAAACATCCAGACATAACACTATAGCTTACCTTGATATCATAGTGGACTTCAGTAGAATGGATGGTAGTTAACATCCAGACATAACATTATAGCTTACCTTGATATCATAGTAGACTTCAGTAGAATGGATGGTAGTTAACATCCAGACATAACATTATAGCTTACCTTGATATCATAGTAGACTTCAGTAGAATGGATGGTAGTAAACATCCAGACATAACATTATAGCTTACCTTGATATCATAGTGGACTTAAGTAGAATGGACCTTAAATTTACCTTAAATTTTGGAACCAGGTGTCCTAACTCAATGCCACACAAAAGTACTTCTAATCCACCATAAGTCTCTAGGGATGCACTAAGAGAAAATAATTTTTTTTAAAACTAAAAAAAAATTCTCATGAATATATGATTAATGCCCAGCTCTGAGAGGTTGTGGCCCTAAAAGAAGGTCCTGTAATCTGAGAGGAGTTGGTTTATCAAGGAATTCGTTTAAAAAATGGATGTTCTCTAGTTATAGTTTCTATAGTTGTCATGAGTATGTGACAGTATGGTAACATGTTGGTAAGTGATAAATAAGTGGTTGGTAAGTGGTTGATAAGTTGAGGGATTAAACATATGGATGCATACAGTTGTGAGTGCGTGAGGGGAAAGTGCCAGGAAAGTGTTGGGAAGATCAGCTAAAAATGGATCAACTTTTACCTTGCATCTGTTGCTTTATCAGCTTCTCCACTTAATAAAAAAACAGGAGGGAAGATATTATAATAAGGAACAATATGTTTTATTTTATATAGCATTCATGGAACATTTATTATGTATGTGTGAAACAGTATCGATAGCACACAGTACAGTCATGTTGTTACGTCATCTTCATTTTGTTTTGCCCCCTGGCAAGATGGCTGCCATATCGTCTAAGTAGTCCACTGAGGAATCCCTGCTATTCCAATAGAAATTCTTGGACATTGACCCGTTATGATCTTCTACAGGCATATAAAATATGCTCTAACCTTTAGCTTAGGCTGGACCTGCATGCTCATTTTAACAAAATGAAATTTAAATTTTGCAGTTTCTTCTAAGTTTTTTCCAACATGATTTCAAAAATATCCTTTTCAATATTCCCCCCAAAATATATTTTGAAAACTATCATGGTCCACACCTCAACAACATCAATTCAGCTCTTGCTCCAAGAGTACCAGATGCTGTAGCCTCTAGTATACCTGCAATCTAGAAACAAACCCCAAACACACAGTACGTAAACACATTGATTAAAAACACGTAAAAAATGATATTCAGTTCACTTCTTGGGTGAATAATCAGTGGTGGTGTAGGAATAGTATAGYGCATCAGGGCCCAGTTGTATGAAGCCAGGATAGTGCTATCTGGCAGATAAATCCTTATCCAGTGGATAAGTCGATGCCATTATACAATAAATTTATCCACTGGATAAGATTTATCTGTCGGATAGCGCAATCCAGGCTTCATACAACCAGGCCCAGGGGTGAATCAAGGAATTTTAGAAGGGAGGATGACCAACACAAAGGTTTTACCAGGAGTGCCAGGAAAATGAGGGTGGCTAGTTGTTAGCTGTCTGGGGTTTGATTCCTGGACTTGGCAATGAATATGAGGAGAGTTTGTTTTAAGAGGTCTCTCCCTGCCTTACTAATCTGAGTGTTTTTAAATACTTTAGGTTCTCCAGTCATCCTCCTTCTAAAAACATAACCTAATTCCAATTAAATCTGTGTTATCCCTGTTTGATTAGCTCAGGGGTTGTTTAAGGTTCAGTAAAAGTGAAGTTTGTTTGTTTAGATTTCTTATCAATCAACTGAATCTATAATGAAGAAATAGTAAACAAGCATGTGTGCTGTGTGCAGTTATAAAGCATGGGG